TTCCAACGTCTAATTTCTTTTTAATTATAGGAAATGCGTTTTTCTAAGGTACACAAACATTTGGGATTGACTGTATAGCCAATACATCCTTAATAGTATTACGTGTAAAACACGTGTGCTATCTCACTAGCATTTCCAGCGAGCTTATTTGTGCACGAACCTAAAACCTTTTTACGCGGAGATCCTCTCATGATCTCGGAGTCTTTAAACGCGAAGAAAAGAAGTAAGGCACGCGTCTCCGTGAGAAAAGCAGCTCGGCGAATTACTTTCAAGATCATAGCTAATGAAACACGACTACCGAGGGAGAGCTTCCATATCCAGCAGATCCTTATCCCACGGTTTTCCACTCCTTGACGATGCTTAACGCGCCGTCACGATCTCAGAAACCGATTAATTTTTTCTAAATCTCTCCACTTCAATGCGTAGGTCAATACGCCAATTATTAAATAAAAAACTAAAAATTATTACAGGCACGTTGCATTCTTTGATCATGTATGAAAATTATATCAGTTTTCACGTCTTTACAAATCGATAACGAGTTTCCATCTGAGTTCTGAAAATTCTTTTGTCGTGTGTGGACGATTAATACATGAAACTTCGTGATGTGACGTCGATCTTCGCAATTTCGAATGCGTGTCGTCGCTTTGGAGCGAACAGCTCGGGTATAATCTCGCGGTAGAAAGTAATTTCCCGCTTCTAGGCACGTGACTTACGTATATACCGCGCTGTGAAATTAATTCGTATATCTATAGAATATCGCGAGATTCGATAACGAAAGGCTCGGAGCTAATCTAATCCGTGTCTTACTTACTGTTAGATATTAATCTTGCCACAATCTCGTTTTAAAGATGTTACCTCTTGAAATAAACCAGACTTGTTTGATAAATCGAATGCGAATAATAAGGATTATCAGACTTATGCAATTATAGAAGAGAATAGAATGCATGTAACACATTATTATTTTTGTGAGGCAACAGAAATTTCAAGAGTTCATTTATAAATCAATGAATTTTTCATTCTGTATAAAAAAAAATCCACAGTAATGAATATAGAAACGGAGAAGGAAATTATTCGAGTCTCTGAAAAGTACAAAAGAATTTGCAGCTTTTCCTCGGCTGGTGCTCGAGATCCGAATCTGATCTTTGAAAAGTATTGGAATTAACGCGCAGACGTTCGAGAGCGTATCGCAGAACGAGGGTTTCCTCGGTGGAACGAAATTAACAGAGCTCCCGGGTCGTTTCCATTTGCCAGCTGGAGATCCCTGCGAGAAAGTGGCGCCAACGTGAATCGAGTCGAGCCGACACGCGATTCTACCGAACTACATCCCGCGGAAAATTCCGTACAGTACTTTACTTTATTCACGTATCGTCCGATCACGTTGTAGTGGCTCAGTTTCACGAATTCAACTAGATTGCATGTAGGAGCGCAGAAATTCTCTATTGGGATTCTTGTTTGCGTATGCATAATATGAATATCGTTTAATAGTCTATCCGACGAATCGATTAAACTGTGCATCGACATATTTATATCGACGATTCCTGGATATGTCATAATAAATTGATACGAGATCTCGTATAGCACGTGTATACGAGAACTTGAAATCAGAACACAGTTTTGTAAAGTTCCAAGTTTATGGTCAATTTCGCGAATGTATAATAAGATATGGATATTATTAGAGTCGCAGCTGGACGCAGAGGTTGAAGGAATTTGTTACAACGGGTCACGTCTGCGGTTGTACGAGGTTGCTAAGTTTCTTTCGAGAACTGAAACTATTCTACATCTATCAAAATTCAATGAGAGACTCATAACGAGTGAATAAAATGATTTATAAAAATTGATCACAGTGATAAAACGATATAGAGTAACATATTTATCTTCTAATAATTTTGTTTCTATCGTAGAGATCGGAATTCCTGCGAAACGATTTGAGTGTCTTAAATAAATCGAAATCACATCATGAAGGAACGCCCCTGTCCCTTTATGGTTCCGTTTATAGTCACCCGAATGCTGTTTACGGTTTCCTAAGTACTATAGATAAATGTCTTCACCCAGCTAACCACCCTACGAAAACTATTCCCCTGCTTTGAGAATGCTACGTCGCCGAGGTTCACGCTGTGTATCAATGACGCATAATCTCACCATTATCGCGTTCACCTATAACTTTATCCTTTATCCTCCTTCCATGCCACCACGGAATTACATATATCCGTTCTACGATTTTCCTTTGAAAATAATTAATAGAGAAGACCTAGTTAGAAATTGTAATTCAAAAATAAATGCATCGTTCATCCGTATGAAAATTAATTAAGAACCTAAGGTATTAAATGGACGAAGGATTGGAACAAGTCGAGACAAACGTGTTTACGACGGTATAAAACTACGGGTTTAATTAAAGTTTCCCGAGTTCCCGATATTCCATGTTACAATTTCTCCACGTCCTAACAGAGAATCTCCAAAAACTGAAACAATTCTGTTTTGAAATTTCTAAGCTTAAAATATCGACGATTCAGATTTAATATTCGAAGGACTCGAACGTCTTGCTTGCAGGTGAACAGATGACGATTCTACCCGAGGAAAATGGCAGCGTACAAATTATCCGGAAGAGCACGTTCAGACTCCTCCATAAAATAGAGAAAATTAAACGTTTCGATTAATATCTCCTGAGCGCGACACTCTGTCCAAGTTGCACCTGTTGCGTAGCCAATTATTTTTTCAAACCGTGACGGGTGTCTCGACGATTCTCTGATCGCTGATGCCTCGGACCGATCGATTTCCGGTATCGCGGCATGTGGAACGATTCGACTGAGAGCGGACGCGAGTCGCGGAGAGAGAAAGAGCGGCGGGGAACCAAGATGAACGCGACGGAGCCGCTGATATGCCTGCTGCCGGAGGACGTCGAGGTCCTGGAGGATCCTCGGATCACGATGCTCAGGCGAATTAGCTACGGCATCGTACTGCCCACCATCTGTTGCCTGGGAATCGTTGGGAATGTCCTGAACCTGATAGTACTCACCAGGCGCAATATGCGAGGGACCGCTTACATTTACATGAGAGGTAACGTTCTTTCCAGACTACAGAGAATTCTGATTAAATTAAACGGACATTGAATATTTTTAAAGTTATACTTAATATCAATCCAGAAACATCAGATTTATGAGCAAATACGCTTCGTGTATTTTGAGGAAACTAAACTCAGAATATATTTACACAATTATCGAATAGATGAAAACTTTTATAATTACTAAATCGCGATTTTCGTGGATCGAATGTGCTGATAATATGAACGCTGCATGTAAATACAAATTTAATTACATCAATTTATTGATACTATAAATGTTTTATATCGAGGCGTCCAATAATGATATTCAAATGTTAGCTCCCCTGAGTTGACTCGAACAACTTTAAATCGATCAAACAATTAAATTACGCGTGACGGAGGGAAATATTTGCAGCGGTATGAACGAAATTGAAATCCACAGTAAGGTTTCCCAGCAAGTGAGCGCTTAAATCGGTAAATCTACCGCGAACCGGTTTCTTTTATCGAGGCAGTGGGTAGTCGGTTAAACATGTTCCAGTTTCCAGAACGATTCGTGCTTCGGTCGAGCTTTCCCAGATTTTCCACCGATTGCAAGAAACCGATACGTACATAAATCTTAGACACTCCTATGTATCAATTATAGCCAGATAAATCATGCGCGATTTTAATGAAATAAATAAATACGTGATAAACGTATTAACTATGATTGATTAGATAACAAATCATGGATAACTTTGACGAAATTGAATAAACAATAGCTAAATATTAATTCGCTTTACACAATCTGGAGTTTTAAATACATCGGGTGGAAGTTAAAATGGCTTGTAAATTATTCGAGGATATTGCAGGGTTATTTAAGTTAAGCTAAACCAAAGGAAGCTAACTGATGGTTGTAACTCACCGCGAAGCCCGAACCACTTTGATGTCGGGCGACTATATTTTCTAGGGGATGGGGTTATAACTTGAAATTGCGATCAGCCGGTTCGCAAGAATTCCGACACTTTTTATCTCTTTAATGACAAATAGCGAAATTAGCTGTGGCTAATTTTCGACGGACGAGTCCTTCGCTATCGTCGGAACTTTGTGGAATGTTAATTGGCTAACCTCCTATATTAAGAGCGAGTACACTTGGTAGTTTAGCGTCGCCTAATGCGTCGACGACTAGAGCCACTCATTAATATTCATAAAGTTTGAAGCTGCGCTCGTAGACATTCCCGGGAAAGAAACTATTCAAACAGACGAAACAAATTGGCCAGTAGTTGAGTAGGAAAGTTCATTGACGAAGGGAGAGATAATCATTGATTTAATAACTTTTTCGAAACGCATTGAGTAGACAATTCGAAATTGCATATCTCGAACATAGACCGTGTTTCAGTTCAATTTCTATAATACTTTGTCTCGTATCTACTTCCGACTCTCTTCGAACGCGATCAGCTTTTCTCTTTTAACGACCAAAGGGAATCCCTAATTCGATCGCCACGCTACAAAGTTTTATGCAAATTACAATTGATTCATCCGCCCGTTTCTAGCGTATGTATAATTTCATAGAATTTTATACATTTACATAAAAATTGAGCGTGTACAAAATGTAAACACTGTACAAAACGAGCGGATATTGCAGTTCTTAAATGGTAAAAAAAATTGCTATCTAAAATACACTCGTTGACCGACTACCATGAACGCTATCACGATATAAAAAATGTGATTTTACTTTGAACTAAAACAGTTATTAACAATTGCAGGATCGATCGGGTCGAGAGTAAATTCTTTAGGAGAATACCGAATGAAGATTCAGCGTATAAAGATTTGTCGAAGCCACCGTATCTTTTTACACGCAAATATCCGCGACGTAAATGTGCGCGAATCTACTTTCCATACGCGAGGTCGGACCGTGGTTTTCGTCGTTTCCGAGCACGTCTCAAATTGCATTTCCTTACGCACAAATTCTTTCGTCCCAATACCACGGGATTCGCAATATTTCCATGCTCAAAGGCACGTACTTTTAGTCCGACCTCATCCTCGATCCTCCGCGTTTCCACACCATACATATCGATAGACTTCCGACCGATCACCTCCCTTTCCTTTCTCACCTTGCCATTCTCCCTAAAGATCGGATCCGACAAGTATCACTCGATAGAGACACCTCGGATTTCCCGTTCCCTCTTACCCCGACGAATCGATACTTTCAACGAAACTCGAATACCAAACGCGATTTTCGGAGATAAAGCATCATAAGTCAGTGAAGATTAAACGTGAATTAAGCTAGAACATATTTTTCGAGTATCAAATGAATTTTTACAGTCTGTTCTTTTAAAAAATTTGGCTACCCATTCCAATACAAATGAAATATATTCCTGTGTAATTTCATTTCGTTAATTTCGTATGGAGAAAATGTATATTTATCTATTTATGTAATTAAATTAATTGCGAAACGTTTATATGAAACGACCAGAGGCATTGCAGATAATTTTTTATGAAAAGAAATTCTTAGAGCAAACTTTCTAAAGAAGAGTGTAATATCAGAACGCCAGTTTATTTACCTTGCTCATCGCTCCTTTATGGGTTAATACGCACGCCTTCTAAAGGATATAACAATCGATTTTTCAGTCAACTTATTGCCTTAAGTTGGAAACGTTTAAACTGAAAGAGGTCGACTTTTCTCGTAAATGTTCAACGTCCTGTCGCCAAGGATGAGAGTACGTAGTACGTTTTCGTTTCCATCTGTCCAGTTTTTCGATCAGAGAGGGGTAGAAGCAAATAAAGCGGAAATTTCATAAGATCTTTCGCTTCCCGTGAATATCCGTCCGAATTTCTCCCCTGATTTCCTCGTACTCTCCCAGGACAAATGGGAGATAATTTTGTGAGGTTCCAATTGAAAATCATTTGGATCGAAAATGATATCGTCTGACATGTTTGTTTCATACAAAGTTTCGTCCAATCAAGAAATCCACGAATTATAAGACTGCCAGTGAACAAACTTATTCCGGAAAATTAATATCACGATTTATTTAATCCAAAGTTTCATCAAGACTTTCGACCGGAATCGAGCACATGCGACCATAGGACGGTTCTCCCGAGTTCCGGTCAGGAGAGGCCGTCACATTAAGAGGAAATTACTCGACAATTCAATTTCGCTATTTTCCCGTCCCGTTCTCTGTCCTTCACGATTTTTCCGATTGGTACCAGCCAGCTATTTAGGTAAATCTTCTTTCGACTTATTACGTATCTGAGAATGCGAAGCGTCTTATTATAGAAAGGCAAACGTTTGCCGTTCATTTTAATTAATTTGCCTCGTGTTTACGAACAGTCTCAGAATCAATGAACTTAATCTACGAGAGCGTTACAAAAAATTCAAGCAATTAATTGAATCTAATGGCAATGAGTCTCAATTTACTGTTTAAACATTGCATCGACTTTTATTGCATGCTCATTGAATTTTCTTATAACTTCTGAAAAATCGTAGTGTACTAATCAAGCATTTTAATAAACGTTGTGCACGAAGTTCGTTAAGAAAACGAGAGATTTCTGTGTAAAGCCTGCGGGCTGGCACGATAACGGCAGCTTGGAAAATTTTATGGAATCCCTGCTAACTATTCGCGTAGTTCCATTTTCCCTTTCCCACCCTCGCTTACCATGTTTCGCGTCGAGTACATGTTGTAGCGACAATTGCTACGGTATCTACCAAAGTTGTGGCTTGTTACAAATCGGGGTTCATATTACAAATGTAATATGATGTAACGATCTAACGGGTCGGAAATCAGATGTATGTACGATTTCGCAATCATCGGTCTTGAGAAAAAGTAGGTCGAGTCTGGCGACATTTTCCGTTCCGCGAAAAGAATAATTTTCCCTGTCCCGACTTGTCATCGGTTGTCGAAGGTGTCGCGTTTCCCAATGCATCCGCCAGTATCCTATTAATAGGACAGGATACCACGATTCGAAATCCTCATCCCTTTTCCTTTTTACAAAACTCTATGTTTCTCATTATCGCGTCTTTGATCAAAGAATTAATGCGATTTTCATATAAATTCTATTCAATCGTACAGGAGATCGGAATTTAAAATTCGCATCCTTTTCCAGTTTTACTATACCTGATTGAATTAATAAAACTTGTAACTTCTTATTCACCCATGAAAACTGGAGATTGTGAATGGTTCTATTTGATTCGGACACGAACTATATCTCTTTAGCAATAAAAGAATTGGCGTAAATTTCCAGTTGCAAATTGGAAAATTGCGAGACGCGAAGAAAAAGGAACATCTTAACCGGATGCAACGAATGTTCATTTAGTTTAGGGTATCGAGCGGGATTTGCATGAGGCCTCGTCGAGGAGGTGGAAGGGTAGTTTCCCTCGGTGGCTAAGCAGATTCAGTGGCCCCGATCTTAAGCCTCGTATCTCTGTATCTTAGGATAACGAGCACTATTCGCACCAAGGAGAGATTACTAAAGAGTGGCAACGCCTGTGTTAACGCGCGGCCCGAAAAAAGGGCCCAAGAGGGCTCGAACCTGCAAGATAGATTTATGAAAACCCACAGAATGACTGTTCCGGAGTATACCGACTTTCAGGCTCACCGATGCCGGTGCCGATGCTTTTTTCCAGCACGATAGGTAATAGGTAACTGTAGAACGTTGATATTATCAACGTTATACTTGATTCGAGATTAGTATTTCGGAAAGAGAATAACTATCATTTTCAAATTTTGTCACACTTGTATTACTTTATTTTCATTAGTGCACACCATATTTTGCATTTGAAGTAAGAATAAAAGTAATTGACATTTAATATCTTAATGAATATCAGTGNATTATCATATTTTTTATTGAGTCATTCTGTGAATCAAGTAGTTTTTAATCGTTTTATTCAAATTCTATATGAATATTTTCTACACAGGTGTACAAGATCGTCTTGGAGGTCGTGTTCAAAGTGGCACCGACCATACTTCTAGCTGGTTTCAATTTGCGAATAATGATAGTTTATCGGAGGTCCTGCGAACGTCGTCGACGGATGACGCTAGCCAGGACGGTGAGCAACGATGAGGACACGAGGACGTTCGCCGAAGAGAGGAGGTTGGTGCTTCTCTTAGGAAGCACGAGCATTCTCTTCCTCCTCTGTGTCAGCCCTATGGTGATCCTGAATATCACTCTCAGGGAGAGCAATCTTAGCCATTATCCTTATCAGGTGATCAGGTTTAATCAGTGTCGGCATTGGGCATTAGTCTGAGGATTGGATACAGCGTAATCTATATAAGCCAATCCTCTACCCAAATTAACAGAATCGATGACGAATTAATCTATGCTTAATTGATCTCATTGAATTTGTATGAATAATTAACTGCATTAAAAATTAGCATATATCAATTTGTATAATTAATTAATTGATCCCATGCTGCCGACGCATCTATTTTATAATTGATCGAGAGAATTAAAATAATTGATTTCTTGGAATTGCTTCAGGTGTTTCGAGCCGTGGCCAATTTGCTAGAGGTAATCAATTACTCGATCACGTTTTATATCTACTGCCTGTTCTCTGAAGACTTCCGCAATACTTTGATCCGCACACTGCAATGGCCTTGGGGCGCGAATGGCCACGGCGGACGAGGCTTCCCGATGAAGCGTTCCCCGGTGGCCAGGCCGACGACGACCACCACAACACCGCCAACGACCGCCACCGCGACTCCCGGTCATTTCGCTCGCGCCAGCGTTTAGTTCAACTTCCTCCAGGTCGGGGAAATTTGTCGAACGCGGTAAATTTGCCTGCTTCCTCCGGACGCGTTTTAACGAGCATCCGATATCGTAACGAGATACGGAGCCAAATATGTTCCACGGCCAATAAACGATATTTGGTTGGTGCATACGTACGTTGGGAGAGAGACACGTCTCTTGTGAAAGTGAAATTCGTGGGTAGACTCCTGACACGAGATTGCGAATTCTTGTTCAAAATNTCATATGATTAATTATATGAGAAAATTAAACGACAATGAAAAATTCAGAATAATTGAAGCATGAAATATACGGCATAGTTTAAGCAGATAATTACTAATATTGATTGAAACAATTAAAACTGAAATTTAACTAAATGTATAAGTTAATATTAATAAACAAGAAAATGTTGTTAAACTGGATATACAATCAGTTTGATTCGCTTAATAAGCTTAAAAGTTATTTCACTGTTACTATCAAACGTACTATTAGATACTAAGAATTTAATGTCTCCATCTTAAATGGGTAATATCATTAACATAATTCCTAGATCACTCTGGATATTTGCGGATATTTTTGATTAATTTTGTAATTATCACCCGTTGTGTACGCGCAGCTTCTGTAATACGAGAATAACGGGCTTAATGCAATGGAAAAGTGAGTTAGCGAAAGTGTTAAATATTCGGTCGGTGGTAGCGCTGCGATAATAGCCTGTTTAAGTAGGTAGGTAATGAAACATACGGTGCTGGGTTATACGCTTGAGACAATAGCTAGGACTTCCCTTCTTCGAGATGTACTTAGTCTTCCTCTCGCAGAGTTTATATAAATTGTATACCAACACGTAAAACATGAACGTGTATACGCGTAGTTCCAGAGAGATATCGACCAATTCCCTCGAAGCTACGTCCGAATAAATAGTTTTATTCGCAATTACGTACACTCCCTTTCATAATCCTTGGGGTACTTCGAAATGCTTAATAAATATTCACATTTATTAAGTGATAAGTCACAAGAAATTTTCCTTCAATCAAAAATTGTACCTTAATGATTTCAATAAAGAGTCAATCTTTCGAATTTTCCTTATAAAAATGTGAAAAAAATAACTGAATGCGCAATTCACTGATTCGGATATCTTAAGTTTTATCAATCCCTCTTATCTGATAAGAATTTTTAATACATATCAGATTTCAATTTATAATTATTAAATGGACAAAGCTAGTACGACATTTGGTAAACGAAAGTTTATTTGATACATTTATTAATGGAATGAAAAATACTGGTACATGATTCATAAGTTGTTTCTACTTATGAACGGTACTTACAATCCAGCGTTAGCTCACGAGTTGTGCTTGCACGAAAGCTCCTGAGCCACGAGTAAGGGTCTAGCCCCACTGACGACACGACAACGACACGACAACGACAATTTGGGTTTTTTGAGGTGGTGGGGTGGCCGTGCCCGTACCGTACTGGCTACGCATACTAGCTCGGCTGCCCCACCACCTCAAAAAACTCAAAATGTCGTTGTCGTGTCGTTGTCGTGTCGTCAGTGGGGCTAGACCTTAAGGGGGCTTTTATCGAGACTAAGACCTTGAGTGTCTACTCTCTTTGCCTTTTGGCGGTAAAAGTTCCTGTCTGAGACGGCATCGTCCCAATTTAACTGGAGTTGATTTACGCCCAACTCCACAACGCGTTCCCGACTCCCGGTATCCGTCACTAAATAGGCGTTTACCTATAGCATTTATAGGCTGTAGCTTTTTTAAGCAAGTCCGGAACGACGGTTTGGAACGACGTGCTCGTCGCAAACTCGTCCGCGTTCTTCAACGGGTTTCGAGGACAGGTGAATCGAGCCCAACGTTGAGACAATTTCCGGAAGGAAACTCAACGTTTGAGCAGCATTGAGGCTGCAGTCGGTCATTTCCCTGAAGGAAAGGGACCGGCGTCGAGCGCGGCGATTGCTCGCTTCGCTACCGAATTTTGAATCGGTCAGCTCGATAAGAGAAATCGATCCTCTTATCGAGCATAGGAGGTACGAGGAATCTCGCTCCATTCATTAATACAGTCCNGATTCATCTAAAGTACTGATTTTTAAGACTTCAAATATTTAATATTTATTTAAATGATGAATATTATAAAACCAGCAAGACTTTAGTCAGCAGTAAATTTTTTCTTCAGATTGGAGTACCTAATATCCTAGAAAAAATGAAACATAAAATTGAAAATTGCATGTGCACTCACAAGGTTGATTTTTAGTAGCAGCCTTCATTGAAACTGAACTCACTATATTACCAGATATTACTTTCGGGTGACTGGGTCAAACACTGTTGCATGATCTGGTATAAATAACTTGGAAGATAAAGATGCGTTACCAACAAAAATTTACATAAGAAAATTAAAAACCTCTGTCACATTAAGATTCTATCGCTGTTCTACTTTCATGTGACTTAGAAAAACAAGTCAAATAATTTTATAAGCCTTACTTCTCTGTAAATATTGTTTCTTCTAAAAGTTTATTGCTTCAAATGTTGGGCTTCTTATTACATTTCTCAGTATTGGAAGAGATCTTACGGTTCATACAATCTTAATTAGGTTTCGTGTAATTTATTGAGTATTTTCGTGAAAAATGAATAAGATCGTGCTTTCCTTAATATACCGGCGAATGAATTATTACGTGGAAGGGTGACCTGTGATCGATTTCCGGTCCGGGTTGAAAAGGACACGCCTCATACATTCAAACGCAACCATCGCGCCGCACGGTTGTTTTTCGGAAAACAACGCAACGATTTCGTCGCGTTTTGCGTCCGCTTCTCGTCTCGTTTCATCGCGGACACCGCGCCGCATCGACGCATGCGTTTTCCGTCCAAGCCGCTACGCTTGCACCGTTCGCGAAATAATCTTGGCCCTGAAGTACTACCACCAGTCGTCGACGGACGATCTGCACGCGTCGCGTGATCCTCGCCGCTGATCCTGACCCAATCGCGTTTCAAGAGTACATCCGCGTGTACCGTAACTTCGTCTCAATAGAAACTCACTGAAAAGGGTTGATTGAAATTTTGCATTATTCGTTTTCTCTTAAATTCATTGTGAAATTGATTATAGTCGCAGTTTACTGTTTAACCAGAGTTAAAAATTAATTTTATTTTTAAAAAATTATATCAGGTTTGATATTAATTATA